AAGTTCTTAACAGATTCGTATATAATCGTAGTCAGTTCTTGCAATTCTTGATCAATCGGGAATTCGTGGCAAAAATTTTGAGCTGTTCCAGCCTAATCCCTCGAATATTCGTAACACTATCGCACCTGTACCGTACCTGAACCGTAGAGCGCGTCGAATTAGCCAGAAAATTTGCAAAATCTCACGAATCCTGGAATTTGTCTATTCCTGGCGATTCGTGGGATTCGTGGTCTGTGTGAAATAGGGGCATTAGGGACACTATCATGTATGGACGTCCACTGCTTGCAGCGTTAGTTTGGATTTCTTGTATTGACAGTGGTATCTCATTTTCAGGTAAATGTATGAATGTAATTGCTGCTTTCCCATCAGGATACATTATTACAAGTGGGGTTGAACTCCCTAGACGAAAGTATGTTCAGTTCATTGATAACCGAATGAACCGAATAACTGAGTGCATACATTGGTTTTCTTCGACCCAAATTTGCCCATGAAATATAGAACAGGTACTGAGCTTACTTATTATACGATTACCAGATTTCCATGTGCATGAAATTGCTTCTTTGTAAATAACACATTATAAAACGATTCACGATGAATTATATCTCAGACCATTAGTTAAAAGGTATTTGTTAAGTGCCACAGACTGCAGTATTTTGGTCTACTCGACATGTTTATCTTGAAAGGTATTTATTGGTGTTGCAACATGGAACGGCTGTTCTTGGAGTGTTAATGTTGACTTCTTGTATTGGTAGTTGATTTGTTTTTGCAAGCTATTAAATGAAAGTAACTTTCCCAGCAAGATTATGATATGAACCTGCATGTATTTGCTTTATTCTTTTAATGGATGTAGCGTTTAACATCTTGCTGGTATTGTTAGTCCGGTGGCTTAAGGAAAAAATCGTGACACGGCGGATAAAAGCACTAAATTTTGCATGTGGGTACCTTTTGACATACTAAATCAAATTAGAGCCGTAGCCCACGGAAAAAATTACCGTTTGGCCAAAAAATCCAAAATGGCCGCCAATTTATGGAATTCTATAGAAATGTGTACATATCTATGTTGATTTTTATCAAATAAATTATTTACTCAGAGTTTTCCACACCCTTATTACCCATTTTATTCATATATGTCAGATAGCAAACTAGTTCCCTTGGACTTTTTGAAAAAATCCAAGATGGCTGTCATATGCCATCGAAACAGCCATAGGAATACTAGTGCACAACTAATACCAGCTAGACAGATACGTTGTCCACTATCAAATTAAGTCTGCTTCTCAGATTTTTGTTACCCACATAATATGTTTGTGGTGAGTAACTACAAAGTGTTCTTGAGCATTTCGGAAAATCCAAGATGGCTGCCATGTGCCACAGGAATTCTAGTATACGGGGGATTCAACTAATGGCAACTGGAAAGATTAATTTTCCACTATCAAATTAAGTTTGTTTCTGGGTNTTCTCAGATTTTTGTTACCCACATAATATGTTTGTGGTGAGTAACTACAAAGTGTTCTTGGGCATTTCGGAAAATCCAAGATGGCTGCCATGTGACAGTAATTCTAGTATACGGGGGATTCAACTAATGGCAACTGGAAAGATTAATTTTCCACTATTAAATTAAGTTTGTTTCTGGGTGTTTTCCACATCCTTTCCACCCACACAATATGTATGTGGTGAGTAACTAACATGTATTCCTGGGCATTTTGAGAAAATCCAAGATGGCCGCCATATGTCATAGGAATACTTCTAGTGTTACAAAGGATTGGAACTAATGCCAGCTAATTCACTTTCAAATTCAGTTTATTTTCTTTAGTGTTTTACACATAATTATTACACTGTGATACATATCTAGCAGGTAATAAATGTGCATATTTGATCATTTTGAGAAAATCCAAGATGGCCGTCATTGGCCATAGGAATGCTACTGGAATTACAACTGCACATTCATGGCTTTTCATCTACTACCAGGGTGAAATTGTGTTTGCTAATCAAGTTTTGTCCATCCTTATTAGTCCTATGATATATATCTGGTGGGTAAATAGTGTACGTCCTTGGATATTCTGAGAAAATCCACGATAGCTACAATTTGACATAGGAATACAAATGGGTGAGTTTCAATTGCTGCTAGAGAGGCATATGGTTTATTATACAATTACATTACCATGGGTTTGTTTTAAAACTAATTTATGTTTTTCATTCCATTTGTTATTACTCCTATGATGTATACCTGGTCTGTAGTATGTGTGTATCTTTGGGTATTCTGGAAATAATTCAAGATGTCTGCCTTTTGTCATTAGAATATTCGAACACATAATCAAATAATGCCAGAGATACAATGAGTACAATTTAAATGTAGTTAACTTTAGATCATTTTTAAATGTTTGTATATCCTATTTATCCTTATGAAAGACTCCGTGTGTGTAGAAAGTGTATGTATCCTTGAGTATTATTCGGAGAAAACCCAAGATAGCTGCCAGTTGTCATAGGAATACAGGTATATCATTCAAATGCAAATAGGTGTCAATTAATGGAACAGTTCAGGCATTGATTCCAACATAAAATAAAGCCGTTTGATGTTCAAACATGTTGACATCCTTATTAACCTTACTCTATATAAATCTGGTGTGTAGCAAGTGTGCATCTTGCGCATTTGAGAAAATTCATAATAGGAATAGCACATTCAACTACTGCCAGAGAGACATTGGGTTCAATGTAAAATTAATTTTGTTTCTCGGTATTTCCCACATTCTTTTTGGACTTTGAGATATCTATCTGGTGGGTAACAAGTGTATATTTTGACAAAATATCATGATTACCCTCTTTTGCCTTAGAAGTGCCTATAAAATCTAATGCACCAGTTTTCCTATGGGGAAAAGAAGGCCATCTTGGATTTCCTCAAAATGATAAAATATGGACATTAATTACCTAACAGATTTGTATCAAGGGATAATAATACTAAAAAACAGAATAACAACTGAATTCAGCTTCATTTTATATGTAAGCCTATCTCCCGCAGGTATTAACTGAACCCCACCTTCTATGGCTAATGGCAGCCATTTTGTTTTGTTTTTTTTCAAAAAGGATACACATAACATTCTCATCATATATATTATGTGAATTAAAAAGATGTGGAAAATACTCAGAAACAAACCTAATTTAACAATTAATATTATATCTCCATGGCAGAAGAAGCCCTTTGTGTATACTAGTATTCTTTTGATATGGCGGCCATCTTGGATTTTTCTCGAAAAGGTTAGTTACTCACCACAAATATATTATTTGTGTAATAAGAAACAATTAGATAGTGGGCAATGCATCTTCCTAGTTGGCATTAGTTAGTTGAAAACCTGTGTACAAGATCTAATATTCCTATGCCATATGGCGGCCATCTTGGATTTTTCAAAAAGTCCAAGGACACTACTTTGTTATCTGACACATATGCATAATATGGGTAATAAGGATGTGGAAAACATTGAGAAAATACTTAATTTGATAAAAATCAACATACAGTGTAGGTATGTATATATTTCTACAGAATTTCACAAATTGGCGGCCATTTTGGATTTTTTGGCCCAACGGTAAATTTTTTTCGTGGGCTACGGCTCTAATTTGATTTAGTATGTCAAAAGGTACCCACATGCAAAATTTAGTGCTTTTATCCGCCGTGTCACGATTTGGCCATTTTTTTGCCCTAAGCAACCGGACTAATACAGGCGACATTCGTCCAATACACTAGCCCCTCCCCCCCCCATACCCCGACTAGCCCCTACCTGTGCTAATCATTTGATGGTAACCCCGGAATTCCTTTCCTGTCACACCGGTTTAACACCACAGAGGATAAACAGAACTTGTTTTGATTTACAAGGTTTTTTAAAACGTCCGTATTTTTACCAGTTTTACCGTCTATTTTTAAATTCTAAAATATTTAAAAATAAGAGAAAATATCGAAAATGCTCAATTTCTTAGTTGCGAAATGTAATTATAATAGAAAGACCAAACATCATGCAAACAGGGACATATCATGACTCCTCAATCCATTTGTGTTGGAATGTGGTTTATTTGCCAAGAAGGCACGCATTCACTCTTCACATGTTACAAGCGAGATCTCTTTATAAGAAAAGTTACCATCACCTCTGAACTTAGAATTAGCTTAACAAGCAAAAGTGACGCCAAACAAAGCATATGGTTCACTTATCACACTTCTATGAAATACGTCTCATCTACTTTTTTTCTGAGATATGGTATTGATGTTTAAGCATTTACCCCGACATATTGGCAATAAAGATATGGCATATACCCCGGTATTTACATACTGCTTGCAGTTTAATTTTCAGTCTCTCATACTCTCGGTTTCTCAGGCACTGCATTCTATACAGAAATTATTTGCACAACTTTCGACATCGGTTTTTCAGATTTCACATAAATAATATGTATGCAAAAAGATGATAATTAACTCATCTTTGAACAATTTCATTATCACCTACAATGTGTTATACATTGGCATTGTTATGTGGCAAGTCACCACCACCATCCCTGAAAGTTGGTAAGTTGTGTGTAGCCTAAATTTAACTTCCACTTGGTAACGAGTTTTTGTTCATAAGGACCGGCTAAAGCATAGTCTTTGACGCAGCGAGCATTCATGAATGAAGGGGGGTTACTACTGGGTACATAAGATGTGTTGGAGTGGAACAGAAATGTACCGTACAGATCAGAATCAGAAAAAAAAAGAACTGAACCGTAGAAATCAGAATCAAAAAAAAAAAAAAAAAAAAAAATCAATGTTTGATCCAGTAAGTGCAAATTATTAAAGATATTTCCCTTTGTCTTATATCTTCTGTCTGCAAAAAGTCTACTAGAAGCAATAAACAGAGATTTTCTAACACAGCTTTGGGTTGTTTGCAATTTACATATCCCTCTTACGACATCTTTTATATCCAATGGGCTACATAATATAATAAAACTGTTTTGTGATGCAAAACATGATTAATACATCCATAAAGCTTTTAAAGTTTTACTGCCAATGACCCTGTAAAAATTCAAAATTCTCAGCATATAAGCACGCATACAAAAAAAAAATGTTATCATTCGGCTATAAATATGAAATATTACATTTTTTTTTTCATGTCACTTAAATGAAGTCTTTTCATTTGTATGCAAGGTCCAATGTTTAA